CGGCTCTTAGAGGGGGCCCTAAAAGGATGGGCCAAGGGAGAGAGAGCTGCAAATGAGACGGGTCACAAGTCACAAGGTGGAGGTGACACGGCGCAGCGGCCACGCCAGAAAAGGTAGCACCCCTTCAAAAGAAATAACAATAATAAAAGGCTGCGACATTGGAAAGTGATAATTAATACTCTCTCTCTCAACAAAAAAGTACAGAGCAGCTGTATCTAATCAAGATTTAAACTGACACTTTTATAGGAAGTTGCATCAGCTCAGTGAGCGATGCCATACTCTACGGCAGCAAGCAAACCCAATTGCTGATATGTGCTCCATACAACCTGTAAGCATTTGGGCTTTATCCTCCAAGATACAGTGCTTTAAACTTATTTAAAAAAAAGGGAGAGCTGCTTTTTTAATTTCAACAAAAATTAACACAGGGGTTCTGCTATCGCTGCAGCCAGTGGGAGTCATGAAGTTAATTAGACTTGGATGAGATTGGTCCCAGCCTGATGCATCCCATTTAATTTATTTTACTAGGAGCAAAATCCGGTCCTGAAATGCACCATGAGCAAAATATGTACCTGAGAAAGCAATTTGGCTTTTGTTTATGTTAAAAGAAAAAGTTTTGCAAACTTGTAAATCACTTTTCTAATTTAGAGGAGCCAGGCATTTTTGAAAGGGGAGGGCACGTCCTTAATATCAAGGATAAACTAAGGATGTTGAGTAAGATTTGAAAGGATACTCTCAAAAAGCATGATTATGCACGGAAAAAGAACATCGCATAACAACCTGATTTGAAGCTGAAGCCAACAGCAGCTTTCAGCAACTCTGAAAGGTGCTCAAAAAGCAACCTCCGAAATCTGATACAAGGAAGAGCACGGAGGAGCCTGGCTCCAACCACAACCGCTCTGTGACATCCCACCGAAAATCAAGCCGCAGGTAACAGGCGGAGTATCTTTCTTGCAGAAAACTAATGGCACTAAACAGAAAAACCTGCAATAAGCTGAATATCCAGACTTCCCTCAACACGGGGAGCCCTAAGTTCGGGCATCAGTAAAGAGCTCTGTTCTCACAGTCACCCAGCGGGACCCCGAGCAGCCCGCAGACCTTCCCGCCTCTCTGAGCCGTCTCCATGGGGAGCAGGGCGGGTTTTGACTGGGGTGCTCTGGTCACTAAACTCGCGCTCCATCCCAACCAAAGCCCTTAAATTAAATTACAGATATTCCAAAAAGGGTGTGCCGTTTACAGAAATTACACTTTTGCAAGAATCATTAACGTTACAGTATCTATTATCTTCTCATCTCTCACCCTATATTTTTAGAACAGATTTTCCCACTATTTTTTTAAAACGTTCTAAATTCACACCATTAATAGTTATGTAGCCATGAGGTGTTAATGCCACCTGGAATTAGTGTTCCATTATACTTGTTCAGACAGCGTTCATATTCCAAACACTCATCTGACACACCAAAAGAAAGTGAAAAAGGCACATAAACATTAAATATTTGTAGGAGAAACATAACCCAATATTAACAAGCAAACACACAAATGCAACTATAAATTACAAAAAGAAACAAAGAAACTAAGCAAAAAAAAAATGCAAAAAGCAACTCTATTTATACATGTGCAAATCAACTTGCATATATGAAATAAATGAGGTTTTTATTGGCATTTTAAACAGTGTGTATTTACCAACTTCACCTTTCAAAGGCAAGACTTTTATGTTAGTTTTAATAAATATGTAAATGTTTCTCTCAAGTTTTCTAATCTCATAGGAACAAGACTTTTGAAAAAACTAGGTCACATACAAAAATACAAAATTTTAAAACAAAGAATGTCTTGATATGAGAGATATGTTTAAAAGCTTGTAAAATGTTTTTACACTCAACTTTTGCCGTTTTTTCCTGTAATCACTGATCAACGTATTCAAATGCAAGCCTTGCAAAAACCTGAATTCTGAGTAAGGAAGCTGCAAGCTAAACTGTTAGACTGGAAAAACAGACAGACATTAACAGGGTCCCATCTCTAATACCCTTGTTTAAGTGCAATATTTGGACTACATAATTATGCTTTAATTAGGAAGGAAAACACTTGGGGAACTCGGACAGAAGGCTAAGGGCTACCCTGGCGCGTGGATGTAACACTGCAGCACATTGAGCAAGTCACTCGCTTCGACGACCCCGCGCAGACCTCCGGGCTGCTCGCGCTGCAGCCGCAGCAACAGCCGCTGCTCCTGGCTGGACGCTCGCAGCGTTCCCCCCTTGCAGCTCTTGCATGGGATTTTCCTTTGCAGAAATTTAGGCCGAAGCTACTTCATTAAAAGCACTCTTCCTTCTGCAAGGAGAGCTCAGCTACTACATCTAAAATTAACAATACATGGCTATGAAGTCATGGGGTTGATCCTTTTCGTTCAGATTAGTGACTCATTTCCTACAGATTTCAGTCGAAACAGGATCAGACCCGCTCGAAGCCAGTTGACCTGCTCTGTCCCTGGCCGAACGCCAGCAGAGTTGGTGTTGGCCATTTCACTTTTGCCCGTATGTGGTAATTCAGTTCAGTAGACTAGGAAGAAACAGTGCAACAGCACGAGAAAAAAACCCAGAGCTTATAATAGACTCTCCCTGCTGTCGTAAAGGCAGACTTACCATTGAGCAAAGCGCTAGACCATAAAATGTTAAAATAACAAGCATCAACCCCCCCATCTCTAAAGTTTCAGAGGCAAAATAAAATGCAGAATGCCAGGTGGTCCATAGAGCAGTGATAGGAAACAAGCAGATACATATTTACAGCAAAGGATTACACTACAGCAAAAACTACGGGTTTTGCATTCTTTAAGTGCACACATACAAATGTTGGTTGCCGATGCAATTCTGTAATAGCTCACTCTAAATTATTAAATTCCTGCCTGGAGAGCCTCAGGCTGAATTGTCAAAGATAAATTCTCTTGCTTTTGCTTCCTGCACCAGGCAGCAGTGTAAATGCTTTCCTTAAAACACGGGGTTTTCCAGTTGCACAAACGTGCACGAGGAGGTGGGAAACACTTGAAATAAATGAAAAAGGAATTGTTGTGCCTGCTCACACCCACTGCCAGTCCTCCTCCCTGGATATTAAAACTTACAAACTACCTTTGTGCTGAGTGAAGAAAATGCCCAGATATGCTGATCGTAAGGGCTTCCTACCAGCCTATGCTTGTTTTCTTTTCATACAAAAAGTTAGCTCCCCATTAAATAACCCAACTGTTCCATTTCTGGAAAATTACTCTTAAAACACAGCAAATTTTATTCTCATCATAATTTAGTCACTGGCAGCAACGCTGCTGTTGAATGTTCCCATAGAGTCTTTTTGGATAGTGAAAATCTTTTGAGATTAAGTTTCTGAGCAGGCCCCAGTGCCCCTGGGGGCGGTGCAGCACAGCCCCAGCAGGAGCAGGGAGGCAGGAAACGAGCAAACTTGGAGAAGCAAATTCCTCGCTTTTAAAGGGAAACTCTGAGCTGCTGCTTTTCTGTTAACTCGCCTTGGGCATTCACCCGGAGATCCCCAGCATTCTGCTTGTTTGGTTTTTGGCAGGTCAAGAGATGCATCAATACCCACACACAGATAACGAGTGTCGGGTATGAAAAAGCAGGAACTAATCAGATACAGCCAAAAAAAGCAAACTTGACGTGTCTATGGTTTTCATTAGTTTTGATGGCCACGAAGCCCTTCAAGCCAGTTGAGTTTTCCTCGAGTCTGATGACTCACATACGAGGATTCTGCTTCCAGAACCCACTGCAGACTCTTCCCGCCAACTCCAGCCTGCGGCTGCCCACGGTCCTGCGGAGCAGCCTCCTCACATGGAAAACAAACACAGGTCACCCCGATACCACGGGGAGGCATTTTGGAAGATTTAACTTGCTGTTCCAAGCAAAAGCTGCTCTGAGGTCCAAACTCTTGAACTGTTTTTTCTAAAAAACTAACTGGCATTATTGTTAAAAAAAAAAAATAAACACCCTTTCCCCCAAAACAACCAAAGAAGCCGTACGGCTTATCAATACTTTCTTAGAAGCTGCTTGTCTTCACTTAGCTGTTCTTCAGAACAGATTGCTCTTTAAAAACCTAGCTAGTTATGACAACATTTTACATTTCTATCATACAATAATTATAGCTAGCTTAGTTTAACCTTTCTACGTCATTCAGCGACGCTCTAACTACTGGAAGGCGCAGCAAACTGAGGCTCTAGCAATACTAATGCTCCAAAGACGCTGAATACTTTTTGCTTCACACAGTATTTCTAGTAGACAGACTACAACAGAAGCATGGGCAAATCCCAAGGACTACTCTCTAAACAGGTCCGGTGACCTTGGACAAGTCCATCTAGAAATGGCAGTTCTGTTTCCGTAGCTTTTCCAGAGCAAAACGTGCCACAGCCCAGGCAGCTGCCAGGTCACCAGGACGTGTCAGCCCCCGGCAATGCCCATGTGCTCACGGTGCTCCCTGCGCGGCTGCCTGGCACAGCAGCGGGGACACGCGCAGCACTAGGTTTATACAAAGTTTTGTGTTTTTTTTTTCTTTAAAAAAAAGGAAAAAGAGAAAAGAAGAGAACTGGGCCCAGATAACCCAGTAGCAGGATATGGAGCTATCTCATGATTCCAGGTTCGGGGGAAGTTTGTGGCTGCTTGTCAGCCACTCGAGCTAAAGCAGCACCAAACGAGTGCACCTCTGCTGAGCTTCGGGCCAGCCTCCTCACAGCCCCTCCCTCCAGCCCCCTTTCCTCAGTTTTCCATGGAATGAAGTCGAGGTCCTTTAGCTAACCATGATGGGGGGTGGCCTAACTGATTAAAAAAAAAAAAAAAAAACAAACTGCTCACTGCACCCAAACAACAAAAGAAGTCGGATGGGTCTGGGAATTCTCTACGGACTATTCCGTGCAGTCGTCTTCGAGCCACCGCAGAGCGTGAAACTCACTTCTCACAGGGACGAAGGGATTTGAAGAGTCACACTGCGGATGTTCTCATAGGAAAGAAAAGCAGTTAGCAGTTCCTTACGAATCCCTCCTCTCTCAGTAGATAATTCTGCCCAGCAAGGATAGCTCTGCCTGCAGCAAGAAACCTGGACAAAAGTGCAGGAAGTAACAAGTAGCTTCTGTCAAAACTACTCACATTTTCTCCCCAACGTCACGGAGCTCGGCTGCTGCTATAGGCAGTCTTTACAAAGCGCGACCTGTCCCTTGATATAGTCTCTGCAGGGGCAGATCCTTCTGTGCGTTGGGTGGGATCCAGCACAGCTGAACAGCAAGAGGTCGCCTTGGAAGACGCAGTGTTTCCTTCTGCCGTCGAAAGAGGGGACCACAATGTCGTTTGCAGACTCGACGGTGTGACATTCAATATGATGCCTAAAAAGCAAGGCAAACGCTCTGAATCACAGGGCAGTTCATAGGAGTTCAGGGCAGTCTTTTTCTTCCTTGCCAGCAGTGCATTCAAATGCTGGCTTACACGCTAAATCGCGTGCGTTTGCAGCTCTGCACTTGCTCAGGGAACTCCCCTCATCCACGCTGTCTCTGCAGAAGACAGCGCAGCCTTTTCAGCTTTGCTGTCTTTACTAAAGATTAATATGGGAAATTGAAAAGAAAAAAAAGGCTCCCGGCTGCTCCCCGAAGTCTCGTATTTTAATATAACCTGGCTTTCTGGCAAGCCACAGCCCAAAGAAGCTGCGATGCAGCAGAGATGTCTCCAGGCAAGTGCCCAGTGCAGGGCCAGCCAAGGCACGAGCCAGAGGCCACCGTGTCCCTCCCCAGCACCCAGCGCCCAAGGGAAGCAGTTAGTGCTGGTTGGCTGCAAAGGAAAAAGGGCTAATTGCCATTTTCTGACCGTAGGGCTCAAGGGCAGAGGTAGCGATTCCAACAGGGGTTTGGTTTCTTTACTCATCCTGGAAACCTTGCTGGCTTTCAGAATTCAACACGTTTTTTTTCTCCCAGAAATGTAACTTTGTCTGGACAGCTAGAAAAGCTACAAGTCTGAAAAAACTTCCATGTGTTTCTGACAGCTGCCGTGTGCAGGGGGGTTGGACTTGATGATCTCTAGAGGTCCCTTCCAACCCTAAGCATTCTATGATTCTATGATTCTATGATTATTATTATTACCAAAAGTTAGAAAATGGGTTCCCTAGGGGTCATTTGTGGGCACCTAGCTCTGGAGTGCTTTATTTTCCTACCAAAATGAGCACCAAAATGCTCAGGAAGCAGCAGCCCTCCCTCCCTGCAGGGCTGGCACACACTGCACCTTGTCACTAATGTGCCCCATGCAAGGGGCACCTGCAAGTGCGACGCTGCTTAGACAACAGGTCTGCAGAAACTAATCACTAACTGCCAGTGAACACGGATGCTTCCAAATGGATCACAGCCAAAGGGTGCTGAATAAATGATAAAAGATAAGCAACACTTCATAAGTGGAGTATATGGGAACAGCTGATTCCAGCGCCCGACCGAACACCCTTCGGGTGGACGGAACAAGCGCCGCGGGCTGCGGCAGGGCCGGCAGCGCAGGGGGAGGCTGCAGCTGAGCCCGGCACCGCCCGTCCCTGCGGGAGCACTTACCTGAGCAGAGCCTTGTCCTTGTTCAGGTGCTGGAAGAAGGAGGGCTCGCAGATGAGCTGGTTTTCCTGACAAACTTGTTTACAGGATTTTCCAGGTTCAGCAATTTTTACTTGAAGGGCACTTAACGGGGGCCACATGACTTGCCCGTGGCAGAAATCCTGCGGCAGCAGAACAAATCCTGTTACGATGCAGCCCGTCCTTGCTAGCGATTTCCCCGCTAGTGAAATGCCAGGGATTGTCATTAAGCCAAACGCTCATTCTGCAGCTTGTATTAAAATAACTCAAGCACAGTACTTTTAATTATGTTTTTAGCACAGTGGAATTATCACCTTTGATCAGTAGTTCAAATCTGATAGCATCTCTAATCCCAAAGAAGCTTCCTTCCTACTTTTTAAAAATACATAATTAACAGCTCTAGAAACTTTCATTACCCACAAATACCCAGCCCTGCTTTGGTTTTCTCAGTGAAATCCTGGTTCTGAATTCCCTGCTACAGGAGCAGCATGAGGCAGTCTGGGCAGAAGGGAGGCCCGTGGCCCCGCAGCAGCAGCGAGGAGCCAGGGGAGCTGCAGGACTGCGAGAGCCTGTGTGACCTGGGGCCTCAACTGGGGTTGGGTGACAAGGCTCCGTCTGCACTGGTAGGAAACAGCCCGGTCAAGCGCCACACATGGCAGAGAGAGGGAAGGGACGAGGGAGGGGTATCTGAACACACCTGCTAGGCAAAACTGGTCAAACACACGTTCTTACTGTCTTGGTATTTAAAACGAGAAAAATTAAACATAAAATTTGAGTCAGTGGCTTGCTTTAATGTGCCATGCTACTCAACCAGCATGTTCATATTCTGCAACTCTCCTCTAAAGCTAACAAAAAAATTAGGGCTCAGTACAGCAAATTTTAAAAATTTATGCTGGTTCTTATGGCCCAGTACTAGGCCCAGCACCTATGGGACAGGTGAACAGTAGCTGGTCAGGGGTATTTTTTTAATGCAGTCATTTCGAAAAGGCACTGGGGTTTAGTGCCCTTCCATTTAACACATATAAGACACAGATATCACACACCAGATGAAGGCCAATTACTAGTCCAAAACTGTAATACTGGATTAACAGGGTCATCTGTTGCTAGCGAGCTTTTAATACATGGCGGGGGGGTCTTCTGAAATCCTTGCCCAGAGCTGGGCGCAGCTCTCAGGAGGCTCCGTAGGGCGCTCCCTGCGCCGAGCTCGCGCTCCTCCCTGCCCAGCAGCCTCTGCAGCTCCGCTCGCCGCCTCCTGCAGGGCCTCGGGCCAGGGCGAAGGGCTGCAGCTAACACGGACACTCGGGCTGCAGACAGCAACGGGGCTCAGTAACTACTCACAATAACCAGCAGAACGGCACCGTATTTACTCCTGAGGAGCACTCAGGGGAGTGCTGAGTAGACGCTCTCGGGAGGGAGGGAAGGAAGGAGCAGCTTTGCCCCAAAGACACTCTCTCTGTGTTGTTATTTTGTCTCCCTTAGCCTCAGCTCCATTTCTTCCTTTATTGACCAAACCTCTCAATCATGGCTAACTCAGAAGAATCAAAAGGGGCAGAGAAGCTTTTAGAGGCTGTTATCAACACAGCGGCAAAAAGCATGAAGGTCTATGGGCAGGAAATTGGAAATAACTACGTTATGTTGACTGTGCTTTGAAACTGAAACTATGCTATTCTTTATTACTGCCTGTGATATTGTGAGCTCTCAAAAACACAGGCTAGGGCGCCCATCCAGCACTTTGGAAAGCTGTCCTGGAAGCTGATGGGCACAAAAGAGAAACAGATTATTCCTGCTTTTCTGCAGAAGCCAGAACAAAAGGTGAAAAACGGGCATTTACAGCAGATCTGGCCTTGGGCAGAAGTCCAAGCAAACATATAGCTTCTAGAAAGCAGGATCTCATTCCAGCCTCTCCAGTTTATTACTGCAACTCAATACTGCTGAGCTGTGGTAATAAGGCATGGGGACCAACAGTCTTTTAAGTAAACGGTTTCCAAACCATGTAAAGCTTTATTGATTGAAGCTAAATACTTGAAAATCCATCCAGAGGCTTCGGCCTAAGTGCAGTTCTACCACAAACACACTCGTCTCTATATGTGGTATTTCAAGATACAAATGTTTTGTGTGAAAACATAAAAAAAAACACCCATTGAGAATTTAGTTGGCCTTTGTGCTTTGCCGTAAGAGCAGAAGCAGGAAGGGTCTTTGCCCAGGGGAAGCCCCATACAGCTGTGTGCAGCGAGGGCCGCCCCGGGGGAGGCTCTGGAGCCCACGAGCCCAGCCCCAGAGGTGACTGCACCGGGGCAGCAGCTGGACCCCGCGGCAGGACTGGCCCTGCCAGCGCCGCACACCCGGGTAGGGCTGTCTGGGCTCACGAAGCTCCGGAGCGGAGCGATCCTCCTCTCACGGGAACGGGGAAGGCGCCGGCGCCCGGCCCCTACCTGCCTCTCGATGAACGCGTTCATCCTCTGCAGCATCCCCTCGCACGTAAATTCGTAGGGTAAATACGGGTCAATCTGTGAAACGTTGTGCATTTGGGTTAGATTATTGTGTTTAAACAAATTTCATGGTGGCAGCTCATAGCGAATATAATACATATTAGTCTAACTAGCAAAAATAAATGCAAATATAGTCATTAACTAATCACTCTTTTGCAAAGCCAACAGTTTAAGCTGATTTCTTCTTCTTTGCAATGGCAATGAAAAAATTGCTCAGCGATTATCTTTGAGGAGACGGTAAATGAAGGAAATTCATGGTTTACTGCAAAGTAACAAAGCCTCCGACACCACTGGATCCAAAAGCCTCCATTTTAACTAAGTGCCAATTAGTGCTGGATTTGCAATAAAAAAAGACATAATATGACAAAAAAAAATCTGATACTGTTAAACATGCTTTCAAACTGGTTTGCTTTTCCAAGTGTATTCACTAGAATTGCACACCATAAATGCATGGTACTTATGCTAAGGCTAGAAAATCAGCCAAGGGAGCTGAGCACATATTTGGATGGCACACAGTGCGCTAGGAATCAGCGCAGAAACTTCCTCGCTGAACATGCAGAAAATACAGATCGCTCTATAATTTACATATGAAATTCACCTTTCTTTGCAGATTTTTTTTGCATGTAAAGATCTGACCTATCCAGTACTAAGTCACAATAATCAGATCCAGAAAGAGGGAAGACAACATTTTATTTTAATACGCTTCTGGAGCGCAGCCCTCTGCTTTGGTTAGATCTGCATCACGAGCCCCTCTGCATGCAGGGCACGAGGTGCTGGATACAGGTGCTGAATACAGCTGCAGAAAACACTTTTCTCACCTTTTGATTCAAAATTGCTTTCACCGCTTTCTCAACTTCAGAATGATCATTGATGTCTACGGTCCAGACATGAGGCTTCCCGATGTAAACTTCGGCATAGGGATGCTGAGACGTCAGCTGAAAGGAAGAAATGATACCAGTCAAAAATCAGTGTCAAAATACACTTCCTTCCCTGTTTCTCTCTCCTCCAAACCTGTGGGATGAAGTACACAGAGATAACAGGGTAATTGAGCTGGAATTGAACAGTGAGCATCAATCCTTCGAGGCTCTCTTTCAGATTTTCTGGGTTTAGGAGAGTGAATTTGGTCAGCAAACTGCAAATCAGAAAATTACACAGACTGCAAGTAACATTTGTGCCTTGGTCTCACGATGACAAGCGCAGCACATTGCTGCTCACGGGAATTACTTCAACTGTCCTGAGCTGGGCTAAACCTCATTGCAGAACAACCCAGTCCTGGAAACATCTGCACGAGAGGCTCAGAAAAGTCATCCTTGCCCTGTGCCACCTTCACCTGGCCCCTCTCTGCTTGGAAATCCAAACATTTCCAAACTTCTACAAACAGAACGGAGCAAAACACCCTTTCTATCACTCTGGACAAATTCTGATTCTCAGCACAAGAGTACAAGTGCCCAATGATGGCATTAAAACTGATTTTTTTCTCAATGTTTTGTCAGAAAATTTCAATAAATTGGTTAGACCAACTCAGAGAGGGGAATGCTTACTTGCAAGAAACTCTGCCAACTAATAGGACAACATTGAAAAGAATTTTTTCTGACAGTTTTCACAGAAATAAAATATGCAAATGGACACACTAAAAGGAAGTGAAAATTGCAGAATAGAGAAGTTGTTTTCACTGTGACCTCACAAGAAAGCTGTTTTTTAAATAAATAAATACATGCTAGAAAAATAATGTTCTTTTATTTACATAGACACAGCTGTCCCTTTGCATGATATAAAAAAAAATCCCCAAAACTGGAGAGCAGAAAAGCCCTAAGGCAAAGAAATGTGTCTGCTGGAAAGACTCCTCTCTCGACTTAGGTCCCTACCGCAGTTGCTGTCTTGTGTAAATGAATGCAAAGCAAAAGTGCAAGAACTATTTAAAAAAAAAAAAAAAAAGTCCCTGCTGAGTTTGGTTTGCACCGCAGCCTGTCCCACAACTGTGCAGAGCACAGGGCTGCCAAGCGCCCCTCCGAAGGGCCCGTCCTGCCGGGGACCTGCGTGTTCTTACCCTTTTGACAGCACTTCCACAACCACAAAATCTACACGTACTTAAAACCCTGGATTACCAAGACTGAACTGGAGGGCGCTTCAGTCCAAACTTGGACTGCAGAAGACACATTCCCAATGCTTCCCAAAACAACCAAACGCTTCTACTAAGAACATGAACACGGATGGCATTTTAGGGATTATGCTTTAGGCCTGACTTTCTCTGACCATCTCAGACAGCAGCACTAAGGCCAGATTTGGAGGTGAACCAGTAAACTGCTCAGTTTTGAGCTGTGTAAGTAGCAAGAGCAATTAGCAAGATGTTTTTATTGCACCAGCCATTCTGCACATATACTGTCCAAAAACATCAGCTCTTCCCTAATATGAAATGCTTTAATCAGCCAGAGTTTACTATTTTAAAAACTCATGAGACACTCCCTTAGCCTATAATTAAAGCTTATAAAAAGTTCTATAAATTTTGAATTAATTTATAATTTCAAATATTTTTCTTCCCAAATGCAGAAAATAAGTTCTGTGGGAAAAAACACCCACATGTTTTAACTAGATTTAGCACACAATGTTTTCTGTCTTTTTATAAGAAATGGAGACGAAACACTGAAACCTTAGTACTAATCCAGCAGTTTGATGCCAAATAGTTTTTTATTGCTACTTGTCCCTTTTCCCATCAGAATGATGTTCCAAGACAAAACAACTGCTGATCTAAAAGGAAAATTCTTGTTCTCAAAAGTCCTGCAGGGTTTTCACTGGGGGATCTACCCTGAGGGTAGGAGAGGGGGAAACAGTTCTCTAAACAAGAGAGAAATAGTGACTTGCTTAGCAAGGCCATTCTGCAACAGGAGCAACCTTGACAGACTTCATGCCCAGATTGATCTTTGGATGATCAATGAATTCTCAGAATGGCACAAACTTTGGGGCTCCTTTTCCACTTGAAAAAAAGATAAAGAAAGAAAGAAGAGAGGCGCTTTGGAAGCGCTGGCTGGAGCAGGAGCCAGTCCCGGTGACGGGACCCACACGCTGGGCAGAGGCTGCTGCAGGTGAAGGGCAGCCCCCAACAGAGCGGAGCGGAACAGGGCAGAGGGCTGCGGCGGGGCAGCCTCCTGCTCCCGGGAAGAGCTGGGGCCATTTACTGAGCCCGGCGGGCGCCTGCGCCAGGACGCACGGAGACTGGGAAAGGCACAAACAGCCCAGACAAGAAAAGCTCCCAGCGAGGCCAAGCCCAAGCTGACAGGGGCTTTTTCTTCTCATTGCTGTCCCCTTTGTTAGCAACGTTAAGCTATGAGAAAGGGCAAGTCTGGACTCGGTGACCTGAACCTACCGTTTGTATTAGAAGCTGAAAGGCAATCGCAACCAAACCCTGGTTTCCAGTGGGAAACTGCCCTTTGCTCACCAACTAGTTGGGGCTGCTCTGTGCACAATTTAGGCAGCTGAAACATCACTGCAATGAAGAAATTCTGCAGCTATTACCACAGAGCCTCCCTTCAGGGAAGTGCATAAAGAAAATACATATAAGCACTCATTAACAGCTGCCTGCAACAGTAACATGTGCTCACATGTGCCTATGAGCAGATCCCGGTGAAAAGCAAGAGCGTTCATGCCCAGCATGGTACGAGCCTGCTGAATTCCTGTGAGTGGCAGAGGCCTCCTTTTACCTACCCTGAAGCTAAATATTCCCAGGCTAGAGGCAGTCTGAGGGCCTTACTTACTTAGCTGCATTCTTCTCCTAATAGGGTCTAAATGTCCTGGCTGTTTGGAAACTTTGAGTTTCGGTTTTCCTGTTCTCTTAAAAAGTTAGTTCCAAATGCATTTAGGATTCAACCACACACGCAGCGGGATGTTTGCATTAATACCACAGCGCAACTGGGCCTTGAGCAGAGCTCTTCTGAACGGAGGAAAAAATAAGCTAAGTGTGTATATGTAAAAGCTCCCATACAACTTTTTTATAATTTATTTAAGCCTCTCTTTTACTTCCTGCACAATACACAGTAATGTTTGTGTCTTCAGCAAAATAAAAAATCCTTTCAAACTGACACATCATGTTTAGCATGGCAGGATCCGTTCCTGGGCAGAATATCAGGTTTTTAAGGGCAACTTAAGTCTATGATCTGTCAACATGAATGTGCACACCACTATATAGAGCTAGACCTTAAGAGCATGTCCTATCAAAATAAAGTCTGAAAACCCTATCAAGGGCCAAAGAAATAACGGTTTCACACTTTTTGCAGTGAACTGTGAACATATATGCGATTTTTTTTCCCCCACCTTTACTGGGATATAAAGAATTCCATAATCACACGTTAACACAGACATCACCAGCATTAAGCAGCTCACCTCTCGCAGGGTAGGCTTGCCTTTGAAAAATTCTGTATTCTTGCTGCTTTTTGGTGGGCTGAATCTTAAATTCAGAAAAGCGCAGCCATTAGCAATGGCCTCCAAAGGAGCAGGCCCTTCATATGGGAATCCAAGACCAACAAACAGCTGAAAAACAGAAAACAAGCATCATCTTAATTTTTATTCTTTACAAAAACAGAAAGCTAAGAGCTAACCTAACATAAGCAAGGCTACATTTCTAAAGGCAGAAGCCTACCAAATGTAACATTGGGAAGAAAAGGGCTCGGTAACATTCTCATACTCTGCTACAAAACGAGGAAAACCACCATGCTCGATGCTGCAAGGGATTCAGCTGCTCCCTCTCCTTCCCCTCACCTCCGGCCCAAGCTGCACCGGAATGTCCTGCAAACCAGATTTGACAATAATCTCCTGTAAGGAGCTGAGAAGGGTTTTCATGGAGCAGAGGCAACAACAGCTCCTTTCAGTTAATCTCATTCAGTGGTTTGAGCGCGGATCGCACCAAGTGCTGGGCTCCTGTCCACGAGCAGGCAGCGGGTTTCGAGCAGGTACCTCCCCGTTCAGCTCCCGCTGCCGCCCGCATCCCTTGGCTCTGCCCAGGCAGACACGGTCCTGCCCGGCTGGCGAACACGGTAGATGGCAGCAAACATCAGCGGAAGACCCTGCACCTCCTCACCACGCGACATGAACGGGATTCGGTGCCTCCAAGGCAAACGGAAGGAGGGAAAATGCAGCATGAGCTACTCTGACTATCAGTGGAGATTACGGGTGCTCTAGAAAAGGCAGCATTTTCTTCCCCAGTGTAAAGAAATTCCGTATTTTGTCACGGATGCATGCAGTTATTTCGATCTCTATCTCTCATCTAGCCTAGTAGAATTAAACACACTGAATTAAATACAGAGGTTTTTATTTTTAAGACTGAGCATAATGCCAGAACAAAGAGCTCTGATTCATAACAACTATGACTGCCAGAAATTTCTCAGCACTGCTAGATGACTTCACATAAAGACATATATAGCTAATTTTTCCCCCCAGAAAATGACCAAGCTTCCTAGCAATTAGGATTGTGTTTTCAGGACACATATAGTCAAGGAGCCCAAACTCTAATACTGAATATTAAGTTTACCACAACATGGAAGTGAATCCTAGTACCAAGAAATTGAAGCCTGTCCCCCACTCCCTCTTTTTTGCCTCATGGAACTTAGGTAAGGCATAAAAATTAAAATAATCTTCACGTCAATGAATAAAGTCCTAGTGACTCTTGTTATGTATAGGCTTTGCAGCACTAATCCTCAGTCCAATGGCAACGATAGTGTGAATTTTGGACGTGTCGGTCTTGAGGACATACAATTTTTATTGCATCAGATGAATAGTGATATTTAGACTAAAACAAATATTCAGGTCAAAAAAAAAGTCATCTATCTGCAGAAGCCATCTCAGTTATCTTGCAGATTTAAATATTACAGGAAACTCTCCGGGGCCTAATAGAAGAGGATCTGAAACGCTATCTCCACAAAAGCTAGGTTATGTAAACTGCGTTTGCTGCATACGGCAAAAGAGATAGCGCCTTCCAATCAGCAAAGTACATACTAATTTTTTGTCCTAAAAGAAGTTTAATTTGAAGAAATGTAATCTCTTGAAAGCAGCGACTTAAAAGCATTTCATACAACTTGCACACAGGATGCTGCTTTCCTAAAACGCTCCTTGGTTCAGACAGAAAACCAGTGGGAGAGCCCACCACTAAAACCATCTGAAGCATCAGCTCTCCTATGATCTCTGCTGTGCAGAGAAGGCTGGATTCTGCCTTTCTCACTTTCCTTTTATGACAATTGTGCTGCCAAACAGCTTTTGCCTGCTCTGAGCAGTCCGTTGACTTGGGAGGAAGCTCCGTGGGAAAGGACACGTTTTCCCTGTCACCTCTTGGTCCATAAGGCCAAGGTTTGAAACCTCGCTCCTCAGCACCCCTCCCTGGGAGGGCAGCAGGAGACGCGCGGGATGGCCCCGAGCGGAGCCTGCCCGCGGCCTGGCCCACTCCAGCCCTGGCTCCGTCCTGCCTCCTGCCCTCCTCCTCCTCAGCGCCTCAGCAGCCCAAGCGGTGCCCCCACCCTCCACATCGAGGCTGCTCCCCAAAGCTGCCTAGTAAGAAAGGCTGGGTTAGGGAGAGAGTGTTTTTGAGGGCATAAACAGCAAAACTGAGGATAATCTCGATCGACTCGAGACAGCCGGTAGAGCCTGAAAGCAAAGTGTCACAAACACGTTTCCGTTCGGCTAGCCCCACGATGCTCTAAGGCTCCTCTCTATTATTATTATTATGCGTTATTTCTCAAAAGGCTAAAACAATCTCTTCCTGAAAGTGTAAAGTGGAAGTGCTCAGTGTCACTCTCTTCTGATCGCAGTGTGTGCTGTCCCAAAATGGACATGTCTCTGATACGACAACTGCTTTACCACCGCTTTGAGGGTTGTTTTTTTTTAAAAAAACACCGGCTTTCAGCCAACACTAAGCAATTTATCTCTGAAGTTTGTGGCACCAAATTAGGCTGCTAACAGAAATGAGTACTTGAACAAATAGTCTTTATAAATTACAGTCTAAAAAAGAAGTTTTACTTCACTGACTGAATAGTTCTTACTGGTTGCATATTTAAGAGAAAGCTTTCATATTTCAGAGACTATTCTAAGTGTTATTGTCCCAAAACTCTTGTGATCATCTTCTCCTCTCCTCTTCCTTACATCAGTACACTTTATCTCATTTATTTTTTAGGGTTGGTACTTTTATCATCTTTTTGTATGCCTCCTTACTGAACTATTCTAATATTCTTTTACTAACTACTGAAAGAAGAGAGTGGCAAAAACTACTGGGAACCATTTTGATAGATTTTCCTCATGAATATAGAATGTTTTTTGAAAAAGTCAATCTCTTTGTGACTGAAACATCTGTGGAATAGATTCACTAAAGGTAAATGACTATTCAGTTGTTCCTGTGAAGTGTACGGAATTAAAAAGTATATTACTTTACAAAAGACAATATGAAAGAAGTTTGTTCAACTCCCTATTTCTGCTTTTCCAACATTGGAATAGGATCCATCTGAAACTATCTAATCAACACATTGTGCCGTTTTAATAAATGTCATTCAAAAACTGTAAATTCCATTTACTAGCAAAAAAAAGTGGATTCACTCAAAACTTGACTGTGAATTGAAGTTAAAATGCTCTGCTTGAACTTTCTCTAAAGAAAGAGGGTTTCTCAAGAATTCAGAGCTGGTGCCTCCAGGATCGCCCGGCCGAGCTCTCCAGCCCGGCAAGGTGCTGCAGAGGTCGGCAGGACAGCGGCCAGCTTGTCTACCCTGTTCTCCTCCCGCGTGATGAACGGGCTCCCATCTCCTCACTGGGGACTGTTGAAACGCGTAGTCTCTGTCTTTCATGACACAGCTGAGCTGGCCACGATGAATCTAAAACAGCCCCCTCCTGTTCACGAGGCATGTGCACACTTCATATATACGTGCGGACAATACTGCACCTACAGGCTTACAGTTAATTGTGCCAACTATCAGCTACTTCAGGGCGCAACTACTTCATTTTGGCAATGCAAAGCCCTGCTCAAGATCTATCATCTCGCTGTCACCTATTGCTACTTTTCTGTCCAAGGACAAAAGAGAGCAGGGTGAGGCAGGCCGTCGCCTGCGAGTACCTTGCCATGGGCGAGCTGGTGGTTTCCTTCTCATGGAAGAGACCACTCGAGCACTGACCTGACAAAAGCTTGCTAATACAATGTTGAAATCACAGGCAATGAAGGACAATCCCTACCTCAACAAATGATTTCAGACTTAAAGGCAAAGAAAAGCCTGAATGTTTCTGAAAGCTTGAAGGCAAGGCTTGTTGCTCAGTGAGAGCGAGGAGCAGCGCTGGGGCCTGCAGAGCGGGCGCAGATGTTGCTGCCGGGCGCTGCGGCTCCCACCGCTCACCTCCTCTCCTCGAGACAAAGTAAAACCACCCAGAACTAAATTCATTACAAGGATGTGACCAGGTTGCATAGTGATTAAAGTGATTATGATTTAAAAAATCCTCATCTTTTTACAGTTTTCTACCCATGCCCTTGAACATCAGGACACACACACAGAGCTACCCTGGCTACAAAGCTCCCGCTCCAGCCAGTCTGATTTTCATGGAAAACTGCATTTATTTTTGCAGTTAAGCTGTGGGGACTGATCCTTTCATGACTGATTCAATATGAACATGATCAAGCCACACATGCAGCAGTTGCCTGAGGGAGGCAAGTGAATGATAAAAAAGTGTTTTTGTTTTGTTTTAAAGGAAACAACTTTGGTCATTTCCAAATCTAGCAAAAGTTCAAAAAAAAGCTATAAGAAAGTATTATTTGTACATTTATTTAAAAAAATAAAAAGAGGGATTATTAAGAAAGTGTATCAAGCAGATTTAAAAATTCACTAGCTTTCTGATATGGGGGGCCTGAAACACATCGACACGTTTCTTAGGGCCATCTGCTAAGAAATACAACAAGTTCCAACAGGATTTTCCTCAGTGATAGAAAGGAAAAAAAAAAACCATAAATGATGCAGAGCAACAGCACAGAAGACCACGAAAAATCACAAATATTTGTAGGACCTAAGTGCATCTTATTGCATCTAACGTCCTAAGTTTGTCCTAAACTAAGTGCATCTGTACATTGTACCCGGGAGCAGAGCAAATATTACCAGTAAAAACCTCATGAACTAGCTACTTAATATGGCAAACCAAGAGATTTAATAAGACAGCTGATATTGAATTAGAGATTTAAAAAATATTCAAATATAACTCGTATTACAAGCCGCATGTTGAAAATTATAAGGACGTCAGCAATTTTATAGGAAGTTCACCAGCTTACTTCACTAATCCAGCAAATAACGTGCATTTGCTCAGAAAGAAGTCACTGTTTGTACTAGGGGTTGTTACAACGTCAATATTCTGCCCACACTAGTGCTATGATTAACACAGAGATTTCATTCTCCACGCAGGCAAAAGCTGGGTATTCTCAATAATGCTTATGATAAAAGTAAATGTTGACCTTTTTAATCTGCAACATTATGTGTATCTGTATGACTCAAGTACCTACACACAGTAGTTGCCTTTAAAAAGTCATAATTTGCCCAGTTGTCACACAGACTTCAAATAACCATTTTTTCCACGAATCTTTTTTTTTAAAAAATCTCTGCAGTAGTGATGGATAAGTAGAAAGTGCTTGCCCTTTTTTTTTTTTTTTAATAGGTTCTTATATAGAAGTGCACAGCAAGAAACCCATCAGCAACAGGGAGTAAGTGGTAAGGCTCCATACCTTTTGCTAATTTTAAACACGCAAACCATTCCTTTCACCAAGTGAAAGTTAAATATTCTGTTAAAGTGCAATCTACTGAAGTGTTTCAATGTTTTAAATTGTTCCACAAGGATGAGGGAATGCACAGAAAAGCCCACAAAGCATTCTAACTATGTGAACTAAAGTTTAGTTATCTAAATGCATACATGCTCCTCCTTATCTTGAGTTCCCTTGACTATGGAGCTGTGGGCAAAGCGCTCTCCTCCTGTCTCCCTCTGCACAAGTGGAGCAGAGGAGGCAGGTGAAGGGAAAAGGGAGTTCCTGCCTTTCATCTTGTTCCCCCTGGAGAATAGGCTGAAGTGGCTGGAAGGGCACAGCAAGGGTGGCCATATTTGTTTTAGGAGCTAAAACAAAAGCACATTCTCTGATGATAATCTC